GGTTTCAAGGTTCAGGGTTCAATCAAGGTTTGGCTGGAGCAATGCTAGAGATCTTTTATACTTTGTGGGGCATGGGGTTCCTTACATTTATGTGAAAAGGATGCTTTTTTTCTTGCTAGGGTAATGTGGGCTAAGTTAGGTTGGGGGGACTTGTCTTAATGAGAACATGAACGGAAGAGCAGTTGTGTCATCATCCATTGTATACGGGTCCTTTCTTGTGGTAAGCTTTGACGCGTGCTTCCAGCTCAGCACGGTTGAAAACTATTTTCGGAGCCGAGGAGCGGCAGCCTCAGATATTGAATATCCCGGGGTTCGTGGGGGGAACCCCTAACCCTATTTCCATGTAATAATATAATACTAGTACTGTGAGGAAGAAAGAATGATACCTGTATATCTACATCCTCGATCGCCCTGTCACAAACCTGTTTTCCTAGATGGTCCCAACGCCACCTTTCCGATAGCTACAAGGACCGTGAAATTCAGGTCTCTCCTAAAGCCCCCAACTCTACACCCTTCAACCCCTGATCCTAAACCACTAACCCCAAAATCTAAAACCTTTAATCCCTAAGCCCCAAACCCTAAACCCTTGACCGCCCACTTTGTGGGAAGCCGGGGCTATTAATAGGACAGTAACTTCCTAGACAACAGGGTAGAATAGGAATAACAAGGGGATAAAATACATTACCTAAGTCCAGGGTCCCTGAAAGCAGGTCCAGGGCAGAATTGATGGCAGAAGCGTCCAGAGAGCCCAATCAATTCAGAATTTGCGGCTTCTGATCTAAGAAGTATTATCGGACTCTTGGTACCTACTAAACCCTACACTTGCGGGAGTTTCCCAAAATCACGCTTCTGTACATGCTGAATGGCCCCATCTCAGCCCTTTACAGTCCCGTTCCTACAATCCCTCGTGTCTAGTTTTGGGTTAAGAAAGCCCCATTTCGCCTAGGGCTGGAGTCAGCCGACGCTGGCATGCTGGGCGAACTGACGGAGCAGCTCAAGCGCATCAAGGCCTGCCAGAATGCGACCCTCTAATGTAGAGTAGTGTAGTAATGTAGGTCCGTCTGAACGGGAATAGTTTTAAGGTTGGATATGAGGATATCATAGGAAATGGGATTATTTAAGGGGTCATCTAAGGCTTGTCTTCCCTCCCCAGGGATATTGAATACTGAATACCACGCAACCCCGAAGCATACCATACATATTCCCAACATTACTGATGGTTCAATCTTGGGAGTACCTGTTATCTTGTAGTGGGGATCTTTTGTTGGGAAGGAGTTCATGTGGTGAGTACAGATCTACCTGACAGCTCTGCACAGTCACATTACCCTGTATAGATGGGGGTCCTGACGAAATTATCCTGCGGAATTGTGATTTGATATACAGATATACATCGAAGCCATCGTCGTTTTGAAGTCTAAAGCATTCCTCAAGAACAGGGTCTCTCTTTTATAAAGACTCCAGCAAGGATCCCATGGTTCATCCTTCCTCGATAAATGCACCTGCCCACCCACCTAACAGTACCTGTTCCCAAACCAAGTACCGCTGTATTCTACTTGGGGAGTATGGATTAGTCGTACTTGCGTTCAAGCCTGTTTGCAGTGCTTTGTTGCTTTGCACAGCTTTCAGCGATTAAGTTTTCTGTGTATGCAGCGTGCAAGAGGGCAAAGAAACGGCGAGCTGCCAAAACTTTGGTTCCAGCCATGGCAACATCTTCTGAGAAGACGCCCGGTTCAGCGAGATGCCTTGAACGCGGGCACGAGCAAAAAAAAGGATGTGACGCGCAGCACTGCAAGCCGCGTGCCGAAGTAGTGCCCAGCTACGAAGCTCCAAAATTGACGCAGCAGACCATAATTTGCGAGCAAAGCCACAGTAAGCCAAGATATCGGGGTGCTGGACCCTGCGGTATCCCGAAAAAAATAGAGTTCGAGCTCCTCAAAACTATGCGGGCCACGCGATGGCAAGCTTTGGGTTCTTGTAGTTCTTCGTTGTTAGGTGACTGTTGATACCAAAAACCCTTCATGACCCTGAAGTACCGTGTACCCTGGGAGTGACAGTATGGTAGTTTAATACTTACTATCATTACTCTTATGGTAGTTTTGCAGAGTAAGGTCACGCAGGGCTTTTAGTATCCTCCGTAACCACTACTTAACCCTACGCACTTTGCCACCAACGTTCAGGCAGCGCTCCTCTTTGCCGAAGGGGATGCCTCGCCCTTGCTTGGATCTTACTTTGTTTAGGTGGTTTAGGGTTTTAGGGTTTTAGGGCTTTGGCGTCTTGTGGGTAAAGGGTTTAGGATGGTTTTTGATGTCAGCTTAGGGTTTAGGGTTGCGGGATGTCGGCCAGTACCACACTCAAGGGATGTTGTGGTGTACCAGCACCAGCTAGAGTGGCGCACTAAGAACTGGGGGTTCCAAGACCTATGTTTGGAAACTGCACATGTGCTGATGTCGGTTTTTTGACGGCGGGCTTTTGCAAAACGACTCTAGATTAAAGGGTTCTCTAAACCCTAAACCCATTAACCGTAGGCTTGTCCCTGATCTCCCTGAAATCCCTAAGGGCACCACTGCCTTGACTAGGGTTTAGGGTTTAGGGTTCGGGGTCAGGGTTTAGGGTTTCTGAAGCTTCCAACTTGATCCTCCCCAAGATGACGTGGAACCCACCACAGTCCCATCTGAAAAGGACGGAAGTCTGTGTAGGCTGCCGAACTGGCCATAGAAGTCTCAGGAGCAGAAACGCCTGAGGAAACCAGTATAAATCCTCATATCCCCGTGTCATCCTCATAACAGCTCATAACAGGCTCTGTTTTGTAATTTTTTGAACTCCTAAACCTAAGACTTAAGCTTATACAGACGAGTTTCTTACAAAGGGAGGGCCTGGACCCACAGGATAGATCGGGATCATGCAAAGGTTATAGGGCTCCTTATTCGGCTTAGGGTTTAGGTTTTAGGGTCGGTATTATCTAGGCGCATCCATACGTCACCAAACCCTGAAACCCATCCTCGAGTTAGCTTGTAGATCCTCTAAACTCTAAACCCTGCCTAATGCCTAAACCCTGAACCCCCCTGATACTCTTGTAACTTATAACCTCGATTCATCCCAGAAGGCTTTCTAGGACTTTTTTTCCAAAACCTGACCGGTTGTTAGTAGGGAATATGGGAATAGGATCCCTATATAACTCCTATATGATATATTCCCTTACTCCCTACCAACCCTAAACCCTAAATCCTAAACCTTGTCTCTATTTGAGCTATAGTCCAAACTCCTAGTACCCCCCTTAATAACCCCTATAGTAGTCCCCTATATAATCCCCCCATACAACCCCCCTTTAAGGAGTTTAGACTATAGCTTATATGCCCTAACCCTAAACCCTAAACCCAAATTTAGGACCATAATTTTGACAACCACCCATATGCCCTAAGAAACTCAGCTTTTAGGCTCCGAAGAAGCTGTTGGGCGTTTGAGTTGCCATGGCCTCGCCTTCCTGCCTGGAGTGTGGCAGCGCGGAGAATGTGGTAGTTGTGAGAACCTTGGGCTGGGCAGATCCTACGAGTTTAGGGCTTAGGGTTTAGGAGATTTATACAGGGCATTGTCCCGAACTTTTTGAATTTCAGACTTTTTGATGTTTACCACAAGGGCAGCTTGGGGTGTCAACGGTTTGGGGATGGAGGGGTGGGGGCTTCAAGGTTTAGGGCGTGCGAGTAGCCCTGTACTGATGTATCGGGAACTACAAAACCTACCTAAACTAAACGGTAAGCCGTTGCCCCACTTACCTGAGTTTTGTGGAGTCTGCCTCGTAATGAGGGGGGTAAGATTTTTCAATTGTAGCCAATGGGGTTCCAGGTAGCTAAATCGTGAAGTTCTAGCCCACACAGAAGCCCCCCGCTCAAGTTCCCCAATATGGTTGTAGTTCGGATATAGCTACGCTTGTATCTACGGAAGTTTGAGGTGGGTATTGTCCCCCATGTAGGCCTTACATAGCCCTTATTTAGTCCTAGTGTCCCCATAGAAGCCTCATGTAAGTGTACCCAACCCCAAGGCTCCGCCGTGAGAAGACCAAGTTACCTTCAAGGGAGCTATCGTCTAAGCCTAAAGGGGGTTATATAGGGGATTATATGTATATATATAGACAGAGTATTATAGGGGTCCCTTAAGGGGGATACTAGGAGTTTAGACCGTGGCTCAGAGAACCTTAATCGAAGAGGAACCCATGGGGGCTCGCATAGAGGGTGCTGGTAGGGGAACCCATGATTTTTCCCTAAAGCCTAAAACCTAAACCCTAGACCCTAAATTCCGTTAGAAACCGACACCTAAGGAACAGCTCTCCAGTGCCGGGCCTGTGGGATCTCCAGATGCTCATAGACCATTCTTGGAGAGAAAATTTTAAGTTTTTTAGTAGCAAATAGTGGCAACATATCTACATGCATACAAGTATGCACTTTATGTCATGACCGTATACACGCGCACCTGCACATGGCTCACAACTGTTGTATATATCAATTCATGTACATACACATGTTGTGTGTATGTCTGCATGACATTCGACCTAAACCCTAAACCCTTTTTTTTCATACATGTAGAGAGAAGGGCTCATCCAAAAGGAGGCCAGAAGCCAGAGGGATACATGGGAGGAGTTCCCAAGACCAAGCTGCTTGAGATAATGGAAAATCAAATGGAAACTACTATAATGGAGAATCAAATGGAAAAGAAAATGGAAAATGAAATGGAAACCCTAGGTCCCTTTAAAGGGGTATATAGGGATATTACGCCTATAATGGAGAATCAAATGGAAAAGAAAATGGAAAATGATATGGAAACTGGGATTATATAGGGGATTATATAGGGTTTAGGGTTTCCCCAAAATTAGGGGTACCTACTATAATGGAGAATCAAATGGAAAAGAAAATGGAAAATGAAATGGAAACTGGGATTATTATCGGATAGAACAGAACCGGTATTAAGGCTTTCGGGTTTGGGCCGTTCTGACCCAATGACTGACTGAGGCTTGATATGCAAGAACATGTGGAACGTAGACCACAGATGTGCGACTTCTGTGGCTTTGTCCAGCTCATGGGAGAACTTCAAGGATTTGGCAGCCTATGAGATGCAGCTGAAGCCTATGGGTTTCAAGCGTTGCCCGTCCTGTCAGCTGGCTTGTGAGAAGCAAGACCCACTGTCGTGTGATCACATCACATGCGTGTGCGGACATGAGTTCTGCTGGATGTGCGGCGAAGATCGTCGCGTCATCAAGGCTGGCATGTAGCCCTTGGGTATGGCCTTCGGCAAGTAACAGTCAGACAGTGATGACAATTCGAATACAGAAGTACAGCCTCTCATATGGCCCCCATTGTAGATACAACTGGGTGGGGGCAGGACCCAATGTAGCCTGTTTGTGGAATCCTTTTTGCCCCCAAAGAAGCTTTCATGTTGGGCAGGATCAGGTTCGTTTTGCGGCATCGATGGCTTGCAACCCCTATTTAACCTTAATTGAAAATTTCACTTCTTTCATCTTATTTTGCATTTAACTCCTCACTACAAGCCTGTATCCAAGCCTATATAACCTAGGCAGGAGCTAGGTAGGAATACCCTCAAGCTGGCTCAAGTCAGTACTATGCCCCACAACTTATCCAAATGTGGCTACATGAGCTATAGTCTAAACTCCTGGTTGGTATCTCCCTTAATAACCCCTATAGTAGTCCCCTATACAATCACCTATATATCCCCATTTAAAGAGTTTAGACTATGGCTCACATAGGATTCAATGCTGGCCCTGGAGGCCCACGACAACAGCTATCACCACAAGCGGTGCCCTTTCTACATTCCCTCTCCAGAGATGCCGAAACTGGAGAAGAATTGTCCCGTTTGCCAGGCCGCCACGGTTTTTCTGGTTGATGGGCCCCACAGAAGGACAAAACTGTGCTAGACATGTGTAGGGGGAAGGTGAACTTTTCGATCATGTGAGATGTAAAGTGCGAGGAAAGCTAACAACCACCGAAGTATGAAGTTTGAACAGTACTTGGAGGGTAAAGGGGACTTAGTAAGTAGTACGGCCCAGTGACCCTCCAAGTAATGTAGAAGCTGTAATGGTTTATGAAGTTTGTCCCTTTACTTTTCTAGTTCTTGTGATGTGCGATATGCACCCCAACACCTGGATTACGTTACCACATTCTGGGCACATAGTAAGCAACAGGGTTTCCTTATTAGAGTAACTTCATTCAAGAATCTGAACAGCCACTCCCCTAAACCTTAAACCCTAATCCCTAAGCCCTAAACCCTAAACCCTAATCCCTAAACCGCTGTAAAACGTTCTGTGCTAAGCTTCGGATAGAGTGGAGAAATGGCCCCATAAAAAAAAACCTAACCCTAAGCCCTCAAGCCTAAACCCCAAGCCCTAAAGCCTAAACCCTAATCCCTAATCCTTAGACCCTCAACCCTAAGCCCTAAAGCCTAAACCCTAAGCCCTAATCCCTAAGCCCTAAACCCTAAAGCCTAACAAGAGACGCGGCCGGCAGGCCACTGGGGTCCCATGCATGCGGCCAGAGAAGGCTCATGCGGCCAGGAAGGCAGAGATCAAGCAACAAGCGCTAGGTCTAGAAGTTCCTAGGCGGATTTAGGTTGGGTACTGCCCCCACCCAGTAACAGTCTATATTAGGGGTCCTATTAAGGGCAAAATCTAACCATAACTATAATTATTCTCCAACTGTTACTGAGGGGGGGCAGTACCCAAGATTTAGGTTACATCGGGGTTACGGTTTAGGGTTTAGGGGTTCTATTGGGGTTCTGTTGCGGTTACATTGAAACACCTACAATGGAGAATCAAATAGAAAAGAACATGAAACATGAAGTGGAAACTGGGGGAATATAGAGATTCAGGGGTTATATTGGGGTTGTATAGGGGTAATGGAGAATAAAATGGAAGCAACTATTTGGGGTTCAGGGTTTGGGTGCGGTTCAGGAAGTTCAGCTATAGTCCCCTTTAAGTAGATCGAATATGGGGTAGATGGGGATCTCATTATAACATACCCTAGGCCACACTCTATCTACTTTAGGGGGACTATAAGGTTTTCAGGCTAAGCTTATCATTGAGGCTGATTGGGGAGGGAGCAAATCTTCCAGAATGGTTAGGGTTTAGGGTTTAAAAGTAACTTAGGTCAAGCACTTGAGAGAGTGCCTGGAGCAAAGTGATGGAGCTATCATCACAGAAAAGACGGAGCCACTCAGAAGATTTTCAAGCGAAGCTGTTGGTGGATTTTGTTTTGCTTTCTGGGCCTTACACCCTAATCCCTAAACCTTCATCCTTAAACCATAATCCCTAAACCCTGAGGGCAGTGCAGAGTCCGCACAACCCGTTCAACTTGGAGGCGCTCTCCCAGCTCTTTTGTGGTGGTCCGCTGTCATCCTGCTGCAGGGTTGCTGTCTCAGTTGGAGAAAGTCGGGGCTGCCCAAAAATTAGGGGTACTTTTTGTGGGTCCCTATAAGTCCCGCTATGTATGGAAACTACCAAGTAGATAGCATTGCGCAACCTACGCCTCGGTGGTCAGGGAGGCGACAATGAGCATGACAGACAACCAAACACTACAGCTGCCACGCCCACCAGTTCCACCAGCCCTGCGGAACACAGCGGCGTTGCTAGTTACTAGTTGCAGCACGGCTATGTCAACAGCAACGCGCAGATAGTGCCAGCAACAGGGGTGCCCCATGTTGACAGTGGTCATCTTGATGGTAGCAAGGCGATTCGCATGAGATCATCACCATCAGTATAGTAATCATCATAAAAGTCATCATAAAACTCATCATCAGCACGGGGAGGCCCAGTAAATGGTCGGTTATACGCAAAACTACCGACCTGTGCTTTGCTCCATCGCTGCTGAGGTATTGAACTCTGATCCACCCGCTGTACGCTGAAGGCCAAAGACCCTGCCCGTCTGACAGGTTGATGATCATGTGGGCGAAGTCCATCTTTGCAAATGTAGGTCGCGATTAGGTTTTTTCAGCTTCGAAGAAGCTTGACGCAATCGGAATTCATTGCGAAGAGGAACCATGATCAAGTGAGCCATCCTCTCAAGTCCCTGGAAGAGCTAAGAGCATGACCGAATTTAACGTCAAGCTTGGAATTTAGGCCTACCAGGTTTATGTGAGGAGTTTGGCTACAGATCCAATTAGCCTGACCAGCCAATTCTCCGCTACCACTTGGAGGGTGAGAGGGACTTGGTCCCTAGCCCCCCAGACCCTAAACCCTAGATGGGTTTAGGATTTAGGGTTTAGGGTTGCCCCTATATAAACTGATTTATCCACGATATAACCCCTACATGCCCGCCAAGTTCCGCTGACCCTCTAAGCAGGCGGACGGCTCTGGGTTTTGTTTGGCTTTGGCAGGCTGCCATGCTTCGGTGGGTATGTGCCAAAAAAAGTCCAAATGATTAGAGATTGGAGGCTTAATGTACCCATTATCTGAATTATGAAAATAGTACTAACCATCATAATAGTAATAGATGATATATGATAATAAGAATAGTAATAGCGGTAATAACTATTGTATATAATCATGGCATCTGCACCATTTTTGGCGCATGCCTTCCTTCAGTCAAAGTTGTACAGTGAGCGAGATATTCAAGCCGGCTTGAGGTCCATCTCTGAAGATGTTGGGGTGTGGGTTGCAGGATTTAGGGTGTAAATTGGGTTTAGGGTAGTTTAGGATTTGTAGGGTTTAGGGTTCAAGCTGGCGATTGAACAAGTGCAGCAGCAAAAAGGGTTGAGAGTTTAGAGATGTTTAAGGTGTTTTGTCAGGACGTCCCCGAGAGGCCCCCGCATGAGACAGTCTCTCTAAGAGCCCCCGGTTCCTCGTAGAGTCCTTTTTGAAGGAGTCCTTCAAGGGTGATTTGTCCTGTCGGATCTCCTAGGAATCTTATACAGAGGACTCAGTGATCACCAATATTTGGTCCGAGATTGGTTGTATGACTGTAGTACAGTGTACCTCAAATGAACTTCAACATGAGAGATTGTGATTTTTAGGACAACCCTTATAAAGCCTCTGTGGACACTTAGTTTCCATTTGAGTTTCCATTTTCTCTCTCCCATTTTTGATTCTCCATTATCGGGGAAGTATCGTCAGACTAACCCCTGTAAAGTAGTTTCCAATTTCTGTCCATTTTTTTTGGCCCCTTCACCGGTTCCATGTAGTTTTCTTCTCCAAGCTCAGATTGTATCCATGGCGCTGACGCCTAGCTTTCCAAGTATGCAACCCTCATAGTGGTATCCAAGAAATCTAGGAGTAGGAGCCCATTACTCGGGCCATAGTTCTGACTTCAGCAGCCGTCATCTATTCAATTCCTGAGTTGTACGCTGCGAATTCGTCATTGCTTGATCTTGCATCGATCACGCAAGGGCCCTTAAGCTACATCAACACGATAACCCCTAACTAGGACCAGTGAAATGTAAACCACAGACCGTGAATTTCACCGGTAGGGAGAATACTACACAAACAACCCCTATGTAATCCCAGTTTCCATTTCATTTTTCATTTTCTTTTCCATTTGATTCTCCATAATTGGTGTAATATTGGGTACCATAGTATCTCCCCAAATAGAATACTACACAAACAACCCCTATGCCCTACAGCTCAACAGCCGGTCGCAATTCAGGGTGGGCCCACTGTCTCTGGATGCCCGGCTTTGGCATTCCCAAGCAGGAGGAATCCTGTGGCGGTCCCGGCTGACTTGGGGCTTCTGGAATGGTTGTGGTTTGGGGGTTTAGGGTTTAGGGTTTAGGGTTTGGGGTTTAGGGTTTAGGGTTTAGGGGTAGTGGTTTGGGGTGTAGGGTTCTGCAAGTGCTTTGTCAAATTGGGCCCCGTAGTCATGGAAATTCCGAGCATGACGCACAAGCTTGAATACATACACGCTGCATCGCTTGACAGGCCTTTGACAGTTCTAGTACAGCATGCCTCAAGGCCCTATTCTAATGATTCAGGCTTTTACTTGCAACCCTTAGAAACTTTTACTATCGCAACCCAGTTTCCATGTCATATCCATGTTCTTGTCCACTTAATTTTCCCCTCTTGTTGTTACATGGGAGTTCCCTAAACGCTGAACACTAAATCCTGCTTACGTTGTATACAACTCTTTGATCCCCCCGCAAAGAGGCCGTTCTGACTGGTCATTTAACAGCCCAACAGCACCTCCAGTGATCAAAAAGTGCAGTCGCATGGCAGGCTTCGAACTGAGCTGCAGGCCAGCAGGGCTGCGAAACGTGCGT